ATCCTAAAAGCATGGACTGTTTGTGGGAGAAGGGTCCTTTGTCTCTGTATCCTATCAATTTGATAATTTGTTGTTGGGAAGAGTCACAAAGTGTCAATTGTGTGTCCATAACTCTACATGTCCATACAATGAACTTCTTTAATGGCTTGTGACTGATGTGACCATGCCAGGTATGTACGCTACATATCACTTAAATTATTCAATATAATTATACTAAACCTTATAATTTCCATAATACCATCATTTAACATTATGTTTGGTATAAAAAGATTAAAAGTAAAGACACCAAACACTATTACACATGTATTAAACATTTTATTTATACTGAACGTTGTAGTGTTTCACTATGTGGTCCTTATACATAAATGTATGTCAGTTCTAATGCTACTGTGTTGTCTATATAAGATAAAGTATAAAATAAATAATACACTATCCAAAAAACAAATCATTCAGTCACAGTCAGCATGGAGTGCTTGCCCTTGGTGCAGAGAATATCATCCTATCATTCTGCCTTGTATTAATTTACGGAAAAAAAAAAAAAGGCTCCCAGCCGGCACTCAAAAGAGACACTGAACTCAATCCAGCTGTGAAATGTGAGATTTTGACTGAGATGTGTGCTGTGTTTCTTTCTCTGCTCATCTCGCTCCAGGAGCCACCCCGGCCTGCTCCCGCCCAGACAGGCCCCTGTCACTTTGAGGTCAAACAGTTCCTGGACTGTGCCACCAACCAGACTGACTTGAGTTTATGTGAGGGCTTCAACGAGGCGCTCAAACAGTGCAAGTACTCCCATGGTGAGTCTGTGGTGGATGATGGAGCTGCATGATACAGGTGGTACAGATGGTACAGATGATACAGATGTACAGATGATACAGACGCTGCAGATGGTACAGACAGTATAGATGGTACAATTGGTACAGATGATACAGATGGTACAGATGATACAGACAGTACAGATGATACAGATGATACAGACGTTACAGATGATACAGACAGTACAGATGGTACAGACGATGCAGATGGTATAGATGGTACAGATGATACAAATGGTACAGATGATACAGCTGGTAAATATGACACAGATGATACAGATGGCAGATACAAACGGTACAGGTGATACAGACCTTACAGATACAAACGGTACAGGTGATACAGACCTTACAGATACAAACGGTACAGGTGATACAGACCTTACAGATACAAACGGTACAGGTGATACAGACCTTACAGATACAGACTGTACAGAAGATGCAGATGGTATAGATGGTACAGATGATACAAATGGTTTAGACGATACAGATGATACAGTCAAGACAATACAGATGGTACAGATGATACAGGTACAGATGACACAGGTACAGATGATAAAGACAGTACACATACAAATGATATAGATGGTACAGACAGTACACATACAAATGATACAGATGGTACAGATGATACAGATGATACAGACGGTACAGACAGTATGGGTGGTACAGATGATACAAATGGTACAGACGATACAGATGATACAGATGGTACACATGATAGAGATGGTATAGACGATGAGGTTGATACAAAGGATACAGAAGGCACCGATGATACAGACAGTACAGATGGTACAAATAATACAGACGGTACAGACGGTACAGACAGTTCAGACGGTTCAGACGGTACAGATGGTACAAATGATACAAATGGTACAGATGAAACAGATACAGACAGTACAGATGATACAGACCGTACATATACAGACGGTACAGATGATACAGATACGGATGGTACAGATACGGATACATTTGGTACAGTGCTGCTCATAGCAAGCCATCAGCCACTTCTCTGAGACTTATAAGCCAAGATGAGGTTTCCAGTAAACTGCTCAGTTTAAAAACAAATGTCAGGCTGAAGATAAGTTGGATCCTTCCCTTCCGTTCCTCACCAGATCACTACCTCAATCTTTAAATGCTTTGTCGGCCACACCTCCGGCTACATTCATCGATAGAAAATAGTTTCTGCTTTATTATTGTTTAAAATCACATTTACAGAACCTTTAGTCCGTCATTTGTCTGCTAAAATCCCCCGTGAGCTAATGGACACATGAATTTCCCCTAGGGGATAAATAAAGCATCCATCCATCCATCAATCCATCCATCCACCCACCCACGCTAAATTAGTCTATAAGGCTCTGCTGCTGAAACCGTGTCATTCCCTCTGCTCTCATGTAAATGCAGAACTTCAGGGTCAGGTCACAGCATGTTTTACCATCAGCTTTTTACCATCAACATGTACACACTGTGTTTTAAAGAACTGGGTCCAGACTGAGCTGCAGAAAACTCATTTCACTTGATTATTTTAGCTTTTCTAATTGAAACGAATGGAAATTTTCTGTCCGTCCAAACTTAAACTCTACATGTTTATTCTTGTGCATAGCTCAAAGTGAGTGACCTGTTTAAATAAAGGGTTAAATCATTATAAATAGTTGTGAAGTCCTTTGTGTAAAACACTGACTCAATTTTTATTCTGCCATCACGTGATCATGACTTTCTATAGTTTTATGATTTTTGGAGCTGCAGTCCTTGCACATAAGTTTTAAACATCATATGATTTTTGTGATTCTCATGTCGACCTCTTTTTTTTCCTGCTTTTCTGAAGGTGTGACATCACTGGTGTGAAGGATGCGAGTCACCTGTGACGGTCGACTGATATTAGTCATGAAACAGACTAGATGTGTTGTAGACACTACATTAGCAACTGACCGCCATTCCTCAGACAGAGTGTGTTGGTTCTGTTTGACTGATGGCTGCTGTTTGAGATGTGTTTGTAATGGACAGTGACATACATTTAATAAATGGCTGTTATCTATTTGCACATTCTATCTGCACCTGAAGTCTGTTTCTGTCATGTCACATTTTTAACCACAAACTCTACTTAAATGTTTGTATTTTATTTTATTTTAACCAGGTGTGGAAAGTACATACATAAAAAGTACATGTTAGAGGTACTAGCACTGACTAATGTCATTCATAACTACATACTCCTTCTCCACCACATCTCAGAGGGACATGCGGTACTTTTCACTGCACTGCATTTATATGACAGCTTTCAGTGCTGGTGAAGCTACTTTGAAAGCTACCAGTTTCTTCACACCTGAAGAAGCTGAACTACAGCAAATCTACTGTAGGGAGGAATCTAGTTCATTAACTAAAGCTGCTTAGAAAAAGTCGTTCATATTACTTTTTAAAATATAATAAAATTGACACCGTACATGTGATTAGTGATGTTACCCGTGACACTGAAGCTCTGAGGCCTGTGTCAAAAAAATTAATCTATATTCAGTGAAGCTTTGTATCGAGGCTTGATTCGTTCTATCAAAATCACATGATCAATGGTGCTCGAAGCTTCGTTTCACACACACCCATGTGACGCTTCGCCTTCATGGGTTCTTAAGGTGCATTGTGGTTTGCAAAATTAAGCAACAGACCCTCTCCTCAAGCACAAGTAACTCTACAGAACACCTCTTACATTAGTCATTGTACTAGAACCAAGTGCAAGTATGTGTGTACACCTGCATTTATTTACTTCCTCTTCATGAGTTTTACTTGTTTACAAACAGGGAGAATGTCCAAATCCACAACGTAAGATGTTCTTTATTGTTTTTCAGTTACATGGCGTATGCAGTGGAACATGTTTATTTATGTATTCATTCATTCATTCATCTATCACTTAATTTTTGCTTCAAGGAGATTCATGTGTTGGTTGGTTGTGAAACATTTTGCATCATAGCGCTTTTGCTCACTTTGACCAGCAGAGGTCTCCATCAAGCTCTGATTTGAAAAGCTCCCATTAATGAACTCCTTTTGATACAACTGGTTCATAAAGCTTCACTTCACCATCACATATGACAGTAAAAAAGGCCACTCAGTTGAGTTTATTTGTTCACAGGTCAGAGGTAAACCAAAAAATTACAACACTCCACTGTTGATGGGAAAGAGCTGGAACATCAGCTTTGCTTGTGTAAACAATACCTGCTTCAGTATGGTCATGGAGATTGTTTATCCATGATTAAATGTCACTGTGTGAGCATTTAGCAACACCCACATTTGGCCTCTGCACATGAACTACACAAAGGTCAAGTGTGTGGTAGTGTCTGCCTGATGGATGCATTACCTGGACATGTCTCCACAGAGGTTGGGTTGGCCAAAGGTTCAGTCACAGTAGAGAAAGCAAAAATAATAAAAATGATTCCTTTCCTTTTATTTATAGTTTCATTAATTTGTCTACTTGAGTCACTCCAGATATAACGTAACTGAACTACCAGCAAGTTACTGCAAAATGGAGTTAAACTAGTTTAATTAAATGTAGTTCATTACTTGCCAAAACTTACACCTTACATATGAAGAGCTTATAAAATATGTTGCTTCATTATAAGTACTCAGAGCTGCCATGATGAGTTGACCAGTCAGTCAACAGAAAATTTAAATAAAAAATTAATTCATTTTAATACATTTTTTGTGCTCTGGCTTCTGGAAAATGATTAAATTAAATTTAAATCACATTAAACTGATTTGGTTTAACTGATAGTCTGAGAAATAAATCAGCTGATTTCTCAGTAAACTGTATTAGTAATGATAAGCTAATGCTACAGCAGTCACACGGAGTACTTTTACTTGAAGTACATTTTCCAGACGTAACATTGTCAGTTTTTAAAGCAGATTTTTCATCTTCAGTTTATTGTCCATTGAGGTCTGTAATGGAGAGAAGGGCCCACCAGAGGCCCCCAGCCAGCCCGCCTCATTGTTAGCTGCGTCAAGGTCAGGCAGCTACATCCGGGTGTGCTTTCACAATAAAACCATCAGCTGGAGGAAAACGGTTGCATCACACAAAATAAATGGTGGTTTTAACCTTCAGGTCCTGAGAAAAAAGTGCATTTATTTTTAAATAAAGGTCAGTGTGTTTTAGGGGAGATTACATTCACACAATGAGACTCTAACACTTAAATACACTTAAAGACTTTAGCATAAATAAAACCATCATCCCAAACAGAGACACCTTTCACTACAAAACAACAAAACATACAATCAGCGTAACCTTGACTGAACGATGCCAGCGCAGTACGAGTATTTTGAAAGTGTAAACCGGAAAGAGTCTGTTCCGTCGCTGTCCGGTCGCTGGTCTCTCGTCCACGTCTTCCTACAGAGCTGTGAGCAGATATCCTTCGGTGAGATGCCTTTTATCGTCCTGCAGAGTAACATTCCGCCCAGCTCCTTCTCGGAGGACTTCGTGAAGAGGCTGTGCAGCAGCACCGCGGCCACTCTGGGGAAACCGGAGGAGGTGAGTCACAATATCCGCCTCTGTCCAGGTCACCGTGGACCTGTCCCTCCGGGTGCTAGTTTTACCGTCGTCCTGTCCTGCACGTGAATATGCGTACACTGAGTCTCGGTGTGAACGAAGGTTCACAATGAAGATTTACTTTTACTCAACTTTTATTCAACTGCTGCTGCAGTTTGTTGTAGGCGGGACCAACAGGTCACCTGTGTGACACTGGTCTGTCATAGTCATATTGGACTAAACGCATCTGACCTACATTATGTTGCTGCACCGAAGTTAACATCATGAAGTGACCACACAAGCTGCAGCTGAGGTCAGAAGCAGAAACGCCCCCTCACGGTATGCACCCTTCTCATTGGCCACTGGGGTAGGGCATTACGTGACATGGGCGTGGCTTGAGTTGCTGTTCTATCAGAGGCAGTTGAGAAAGGAGATGGTGCACTTTTAATCACTTCCTGACATTGTGGGTGAGTCAAAGAATGGATGTAAATGGTTTAGTCATAGAGGAATTCATAGAAGATAAGGGCTTAGCATGTATGAATGATGGGAAGGGCAATAGATATAATGGTACACAAAACACAGAAAGTGTAGTAGATCTGACATTGATTTCAAATGAAATGACAGGTATAACAACCCTGGGAGGTGTTTAGTAAGTCACCAGTGGGCAGTGATAATTATCCTATAAGAATTAAAGTGGGAATAGAAGTACAGCAAGAAGAGGAACTGATAATACCAAGAAGGAAAATGGAGAAAAAAAAAATTGGGACACCAATAAAAGTAGGTGTGTGCACTTACTCAGAGAAGATAGTTCAGATGTTGATGGATTCAATAAAAAGTTGGATGGAATCATAATACATTCATCAGAGGAAACTATACCAAAGGGTGTTAGGGAGCAACCAGAGCACCATTTTTCAATATATACCAGGCCCTTATGAGAGTGACATTAGATTATGGGTGTGTAGCTTATATGTCTGCAGCAGAGAGTCATCTTAATAAGATGGATGTGGAACTAGCTCAAGGGCTAAGAATATGTAGTGGAGCATTTAAAACATATCCAGTAGCTGCCATGCAAGTGGAACAACTGTTAAGAATAGAGTGAAGCTTATGCTGGCATACTGGGTTAATTTACAGGGTCATAGTAGCTCACACCCTACAAAAGCCATCTTGCAGGACTGTTGGGAGCACAATGAAACTCATTTCAGAAGTTTTGGGTGGGTAGGAAATAGTAAAGCCGAAAATGTAGGTTTAACCAACATACAGTACAGTCCAACAGTCCCCTCTTCAGCCATTCTTCCATGGTTATATGTGACACCATTAGTCAATTTAAACATACAGCAGTAATTTAAGAGCAAATCCAAACAGGCATGTGCTGGGAGTTAGGCACAACATTACATTGAACAGCACTATGGTGATAAATTATTGGTATACACTGATGGACACACAGGAGCTGCAGTTTTCATTCCACAGTGCAAGGTTGCAATATAGGAAAGAACCACAGATCATTTATTAGTATATGTAGTTGAACTTGTTGCTATTCTGATAGTATTGAAATGGTTAGAGGAAAACAACAAAACAAATACATTAGTTGCATCGGATAGTTGGGCAGCACTCACAAGCATTAAATCTGTGAAATCAAGTACACGAAATACTTTATTTGATATTCATCATTTAATACACAGTATTCTCAATAAGGGTTTGACGGTTTGCTTTATTTGGGTTCCTGCCCATGTAGGAGTAGAAGGAAACAAGGATGCTGACAAACTGGCCAAACAATCACTTAAATTGCCAACAGTAAACGTTAAAATCCCGTTACGTAAAGCAGAAGGCAAACAATCATAAAGAGTCAAATGCAAAAAATATGACAAGAATACTGGGACATAAATGACACAGGAAGACATTTATACAGCATCCATAATCCCATGTGGGTTTGGGAAGGAGGATGGGCGGGAACCGAAAGGAAGTCATTACTCGTCTCAGGATAGGACCTACTGGACTAAATCACTACACAAAATAGGTGAACATCCAACAGGTAGATGTGCACATTGTGGACATTCAGAATCGGCTCAGCATTTGCTGTTACAATGTAGGGGATATGAGGAAGAAATTAAAGGCTAAGTTAACATTCAATGAGAGGAACCTACTTAGAGAAACATCAGGGAGAATGTTTAATTCATCTAATCACATATATCAAAAACACAGGGTTGATAAACAGAATTTAGTTCCTTTTTGTTTGTTTTTTTTCTGTTTTTTTTTTTGTTTTTTTTATTATTTTCCTGCCAATCTAATGCTCCACACTCCAGTGCGGTAGGTGGCGGTAATGCACCTGAAAGCTGGTTTCGAACTGCCAATCAAATCAAAAGAAGAAAAAAAAGAAGACCAATCACTTCCTATAACTTTAGGAGACCAACAGCAAGTCTGAGTCTGTTCACTCCAATGGGAGATGTGAACGTGACCCCAGATTATGACAGATTCTTTCGTTTAGTTACCGAAATGAATATTGGATCCATTTTTCACAAGCTACATATCCTCTGAACATTCTGACACCAAAATGGCATCTTTAGACGGACATATCAGGAGAATATTAACTTTATTCAGAACTATTTCTGTCTCAGCAACACACTCTTGTGAGATCTCGCAGCACAGATCTCTTCTCTCCGTTGTCTCTGGTCTGATTTCTCTGCTGCAGTAGAGCTGTGGACATCGCTTTCTAACCGCAGAAGTTTAGAGGGACTTATATGTATAACCATAAATTAAAAGTTTAAACTGAAATAATTTGTATTTCTTTGCTTAATAACACTATTACTATTATTATCAATGAACAGTTTTTGGAGGAAAAACAGAGTATTATTAGACTGATATGATTTTGCTCTGGGTTGATCTGATAGAAGCTAGCAGATAAAAACAAGCGGTAAAATCAGGCGTAAATTCAAATTATATCGAATGTTGTTGAGCTGTAGTATTGTGTTATGTTTTGACATGAACAAGCAATCACGACCATGCAATACAATACAACACTAGATACAGTTTGAATTTACGGCTGATTTTGCTGCTTGTTTTTATGTTTGTTTATATCAGATCAACCCAGAACCAGGGTTGACAAGGGTCAAATCAGTAATAATACTCTGTTTTCTCTCCAAAAAACTGTTAATAATAATAATAATAATGATAATAATGGTATTATTACACAAAGAAACAAGTTTTATTTCAGTTTTAACTTAAAATTCATGGCCGCATGTATAAGTCTTTCTAAACCTTCTAAATAACTGTTGTGAGATCTCAGTGTTTGTTGCTGAGACAGGTCTGAATAAAGTTAATTTTAATGTCACAATGTTCTGAAGATCCAAGGCTCGTGAGAAATGGATAAAATATTTAACCCTTGTGTACCCTCTGGACCCCTTTGTGGCAAAAATGTACACGCACAGAAAAACTGCTATTAAATCATCATAAATCAATATTTTTTTCAGCTTTTTTTCATAAATCTCTTAAACAACTTCAAAATTGCTCAAAACTACCAAATATTCAATCATTTTCAGGATTTTAACCCTTTGCATGCCAGTGTAATTATTTGAATTATTTCATTATTCATTACAAAAAAAACAATACTCCCTCTGGACACCTTCGTGGCCAAAAATGCCTCATTGACTTCCATTAAAACCACATTTTTTAATCTCACTTCCATTACAGTATAAAACCATGCATTCTCTAATGTCTGCATTTCATTTTGAAGAGAAGTAGTGATATTTGACATTTTTACTGTATTCCACCAGATTCAACCATTTTCCCATTGAAGGCCGCTGCATGAAATTCTTGTATTTTTGCCAGTTATATTATGGAGCCGTGTGACTACCAGGGGGCCCCAAGAGTTATTTGTTTGTGTGTGTGTGTGAAATAATTTTTGAATCAACATCTGATTCTTCAATGTGAACATTTATTGTGCAAACTGCAACAACTTTGAAAACTTCAACAACAAGAAGTTTAGTTTAGTTCATTTCCAGCAGCAGACCAGCAGGTCCTGCAGCATGTGACCTGGTGCTCCCTACAATTGCACACTTGGTGCAGGTGGTGGAAGACCTCTTTTTTAGGCCTGTGCACAACCAGCACACACCTCTCCTTCTGGTCGAGCTGGTGGCAGCAGTGGCAATGGCGGTGTCGGTGGTTTCTGCAAAGGCAGCAACAGTCGTCTGTACTGAGCGCCTCCCGTGTAGGTTTGTCATTTGCAAAATCAGCTGGATCATGTCAGGAGTGAAGAAAAGGTCAAAAAAGGATGCCACATCGTGGATTCTTGATATGGCATATCTTGTGCCTGAATGTAGCGCAGCGTCTCGGCATGAGATAGAGACCAGACTTGCCCGTTCTTCGCCGTCCACTCACTGTTAGGATGGGCAGGGTCCTCAGTGTCCTCTCCACTTTCAGAGAAAGGGTCAGAAGCTTTTGTCTTCTTCAGATGAGTCCTGCAGCTCGCTGACAGATAAGGGCTGCATGACCATTTCTAAAGCCTGTTATGCACTGAAATGCCTCTTCATTTTGGCTCCTTCTCTTTGCTCCAGGTCTTTCTCCTTCTCTGCTCACTAATGAAATGACCCCTCAGCCAAGCTGCATGTTTATCTTTGGCTGTGAAAGCAGCCAGGTGCATATACACATTAACAGTTGTTTTTGTTTTTGTTTTTGAGTACAGCAAGTGCAGGAGGCCATGTTTTTACTCAAGCACCTGTTTACAGACACATGAAACACATCCCTCAAAAGATGCCATTTTTCACCCCTGAAATGATCAGTGCGTACTTACAGATTCACACACACTCTCTCGCAGACACATACGCACACACACACACACACACACACACACACGCACCAAAAAAACTCTTGGGGCCCCCTGGCAAAAATACATGAATTTCATGCAGCGGCCTTCAATGGGAAAATGGTTGAATCTGGTGGAATACAGTAAAAATGTCAAATATCACTACTTTTCTTCAAAATGAAATGCAGACATTACAGAATGCATGGTTTTATACTGTAATGGCAGTGAGATTAAAAAATGTGGTTTTAATGGAAGTCAATGAGGCATTTTTGGCCACGAAGGTGTCCAGAGGGAGTATCTGCCACTGCATAAAAAATACTAATGCAATCCAATCAACTTTGTTGCTAATCTTTGACATATCCAAGACTCTAATCACCACCAATGCTTCATCCCCCTACTATTTATTATATGGAAAACAATTAATTTTTTGTGTTTTTTTTTGTAATAATTAATAATTCAAATAATTAAACTGGCATTTAAAGGGTTAAAATCCTGATAATGACTGAATGTTTGGTAGTTTTGAGCAATTTTGAAGTTGTTTAAGTGATTTGTGAAAAAAAGCAGAAAAAAATATTGATGTATGATGATTTAATAGCAGTTTTTGTACGTGTACATTTTTGCCATGAAGGTGTCCAGAGGGAGTATCTGGCACTACATAAAAAATACTAATGCAATCCAATCAACTTTGTTGCTAATCTTTGACATATCCAAGACTCTAATCACCACCAATGCTTCATCACCCTACTATTTATTATATGGAAAACAATTAATTTTTTGTTTTTTTTTTTTTTTTGTAATAATTAATAATTCAAATAATTAAACTGGCATTTAAAGGGTTAAAATCCTGAAAATGACTGAATGCTTGGTAGTTTTGAGCAGTTTTTGTACGTGTACATTTTTGCCATGAAGGTGTCCAGAGGGTGCAAAATGCATCAATAGAGTATAAAAGGCATGTAAGAGTAAAAGACAGTGGATTTGAAAAATTTTACTAAAAAGAAAAGTTCTTGCAAAAAATTCATGCCACAAGCTGTAACACAGCCAAAATGATCACCAAATTAAAAAAAATTGAAAAAAATGTACAAAAATGCCAGAGGAGGGCACAAGGGTTAATTCAGTGACTACGAGGAGAATCATTCATAATCTGTGATCAGGTGAACAGACTCAGACCTGCTGCTGATCTCTTTTTCTCCTCTTCTCTGATCCTCCCTGGTCTTCCTTGGTCTTTCCTGGTGCTCTTTGGTCTTCCCTGATCTTCTCTGGTCCTCTGTGGTCTTCTCTGGTCTTCTCTAGTCTTCTCTGGTCTTCCCTGGTCCTCTCTGGTCTTACCTGGTCTTCTGGTCTTCTCTGGTCTTTCCTGGTCTTCCCTGGTCTTCTCCAGTCTTATCTGGTCTTCCCTGGTCCTCTTTAGTCTTCCCTGGTCTTTCCTGGTCCTCCCTGGTCTTCTCTGGTCTTCCCAGGTCCTCTTTGGTCTTCCCTGGTCTTCTCTGTTCTTTCTTGGTGCTCTTTGGTCTTCCATGGTCTTCTCTGGTCTTCTCTAGTCCTCTGTGGTCTTCTCTGATCTTCTCTAGTCTTTTCTAGTCTTCCCTGGCCTTCTGGTCCCCTCTGGTCTTCTCTGGTCTTTCCTGGTCTCCCTTTGACTTCTCCAGTCTTATCTGGTCTTCCCTGGTCCTCTTTGGTCTTCCCTGGTCTTCTCTGGTCTTTCCTGGTCCTCCCTGGTCTTCCTGGGTCTTCTCTGGTCTTCCCTGGTCTTCTGGTCTTCCTTGGTCTCTGAGGTGTGTTTGGGTCATGATCCTGCATCAGTACGAATCCTGCAAACCAAAGGGCAGAGTCTGTCTCTGAAGAATTTGACTTGTGACACTTTGACTTAGTTCTGATTTGATTTTTTCACGATCACAGTTCTGCTGAGTGATTAATGATCTGCTGGAAACAGGTGAATGAGTTGATCAGATCCACCTGAGAGTCACCTGAACACCTGTTTCAGTGGCAGAGATACAACTCATGGAAATCTGAGCTTTTGTACTAAGCAGCTAAAATTTTCTGAACGTTGATCACTGACCTAGAATCAGTGCAGACGCTTCAATATTTCATTTTTATCACTTCCTGTGTTTTTAATGTGGTCTCAGGCTCTTAGAGCCTGTGTGTAGAAAAGAGGTTTCCAGTGTCCTTTCAGTACAACGGTCAGAATGACCGGGGGAATTTAATTATGCTCATTGAGCTCGCTTACCATTGACAATATCCTGCTCATAAACCAAATAAACACATATCTGACCCCCCCACCGCACCCCCCACGCCCCACTGTCATGGTGGTTGTCTTCCAGAGGATGAACGTGGTGGTGACCCCTGGGCTGCCGATGCTAATGGCGGGCTCCTGCTCTCCCTGCGTGATGCTGTCGGTGTCTGCCATTGGTGTGACCGACACTGCTGAGAAGAACAAGGAGCACAGCGCCAAGATCTTTGAGTTTCTGACCAGAGAACTGGGTCTGACTGAAGACAGGTGAGCTCTTGCTGCACACATACTGTACATCAATGTACTGCCGCAGCACAGACACAGTCTGCACAGCTGCTGGATAAGAAGCCTGCTCTTAATCTACTGGACGCTCAGCAAGCACTTACATCATAACGTACACACACACACCTTTTGACCCACAGTCCCCCCTGCTGGTCACGGTGATTTGTCTTGGCCGGAGTGAAAGCTGTCAGTGGAGAGTAGACGGTCCTTCAGAGGACATCAGTAGAGTAGGCGGTCCTTCAATGTGGCACAGCACACCATTACGTTCACAATGCTAAAAGAATGTGGTTGCATGTGGTCCAGACCACCTCTGAATGTGGTCTGAGTGATTGGATTTCAAATGTGCCCTCAATGTGTCTTGGGTGCGTCCACACCTGAGCATAGAGCTGTCCACTGGTCATCGGATCACCTGAGAGAGATGTTAATACCAGGTGTGAACAGGGTCACTGTAACAGAGCTTCAGAAGTCTCTGCAGAGATGATTCATTCTGAGAGATCCGTGTGTGTCAAATGTTACTCTGAACAACACACAAAAGCCGCGTTTCCACCGCAGGAACTTTCCCCAGGAACCTTTTGAGGAACTATGCGCGTTTCGACCACAGGAACCAGGGTCTAAATTTAGTTTGGGGTAATTGATAAAGTCAATCCCCAGATTTCTATCCGATAGAATGGTTGAAATGTAACATGTAGACTTAAAGACAATGTCTTTCATGTGACCATACTGTCAGCATTATTCACACAAGGTGTAACACACACTACATGACATCCAGAATGTCCATACTATTACTATTATAGTCAAAGAACTGCTGTGTTATCCACATTTATGATCAGTTAACCACTTGTGTTATGATTCATTTCAGGTTTTGAGGGATGTAATATGAAATCCACACTTGTATTATTCCTGTCTGTCATTATTAGTGCCATTAGGTTTATATGTTGTTTCATATAATATTTTATGGTCATGGTGAAGGACAGATGTGTGACTAATAGGTACTTTTTGGTCGAAAAGCGGCTAAAAACAGTGTCTGCAGTTTCCACTGGAACTATTTTCTACTCAAGATATAGTCTCGCAGAAACCACCCCACCCATACCCACCCCCTAACCTCACTGGAAAGGGGCTCCCCCTCATCACAAATCCCAGCTATACCCCTGTGAAGGATCTTCATCTGTATTGTGTTGTGGTCTTAGAATGATTGACTGTTTGTTCTGATTGACAGGATTGTGATTCAGTTCCATGCGCTGCAGCCTCTCCAGGTCGGGAAGAAGGGGACCGTGATGAGCTTCTTGTGAAGGATGTCGTCTCGTGATGCAGCTCAGTCTCAGAAAACCTCTCTTATTTCACCTCAGTATTAATCACACACTGATAACTTCTGTTGTGGATGATTCAAAGACTCTTCCTATTATCACTCCTGAAATCACTTGTATCACAGACTGTTGAAGACCAGACCTGGTACACATAGAAAAAAACTATCTGACTATGATTTGACTGTGATTTCTTCACTTTTATTTCCTTGTCAGTTTTTTCCTCAGAATATGGACTTTAACGTGTCAAGTGACCTAAACCTCATCTGTACAGAGGGCTGAAACTGAAGAGCTATTTTCATATATTTTCAGTAAACATGGGGAGGAGATGAACTGGGCTCTGTCTCTGTGTGTGATTGTTGGAACTCAGTTAGATTTCTAACAGACGCAAAGTGAAGCTCCTTTTCCACTGGTGAAAAAACTAGCTAAAGCTACAGATCTGTTTTACCAGTTAGCACGACGGCTAGCAACTCACTGTTTATACCTAATCATGTTAGTGAAGTTAAATTCACACTGTTTTACACCGTCATTAGTAACAGAGGAAGGCCTGACACTCTTCACTCAGTGGGTGTCTCAGCTTTTAAATCTGGATTAAATGAAGACCGGTTGTGTTAAATCTAAATCTGATCTGTTCTTTAAATATCTCTGTACCATATGTTTTAGTCTACTTACACCTTCTCTCTCAATCAAAACAATAACAAAAGATGGTGTTGGGTGATGTCGTGATGTAGCGCGTTATCATGGGAGTTGTTGTCTTCACCACCTCTGTTGTCAGTTTCTTCTGGTTTGATTCCTTCAGTGTCAGTGGTTCAGGAGGTTTTCACCAGCAGTTGAATTATCCACAGAGGTTTCCCGCTCTCCACAACAAACAGGCCGGGGGATTAAAACCAGTAAAACTATAAGTTTACCTTATAGGATAAGTAACACCAAAAGGACTGATTATCACTAAGGTGTGAATCCTGGCCTCTCTGTGCTATGCATGAATACACACACACATTATCATTTGTCCGTGTCCTTTTGTAACCCTGTTAAACTCATAAAATAAATAATGAATAATTTATGGGTTAAAAAGGTTCATATTTGGTTAAAACTGTTATTAAAAGTGTATTAAAAATGTGAAATGAATAATTCATAAAGTTTAAAATAGTTTGGTAAAAGAGTAAGGTGTAATAAATAAGATTAAAATGACACAAATGTACTTTGTTAAATATTTCATCTTATTTTGAAGTAATTCATGGGGAGATAGGAAGTACGGATTGAGAAGAACTGTGATCTAGGTCATTTGTTTGGTTAAGGTGTGATTGAAAGGTGGAGACCGGAAATGTGAGCATGTGTATTTGGGAAAAAAACTTGACAGAGAAAAGAAGAAGCGGGACGACGACGAGACACAACGGACACGCATGGCCGCCAGAGTTAAAGTCTACAGAGATAACAGTTAAGTGTGTAGTTTTCAGTGTCCAAGAGACTGTCTGCTCGACACTCGGAACCCGGACATAGAAGCTACTGCTATATAGTGTACAGCTTGAGAAGTTTCAGCTCGGAACTCCTGTCGAAGCTGCACTGTTGTTAGCTCAGCCCAGCTACTGAGCTAACTCGTAGGGTGTTGTTAGCATTCGCTATCAAAGCGAATGAACTTAGCCGTGAGGAGCTAAACCAGTTTCTGCTATCGGCTGTGCCGGTGATCTCAGCACGGGAGCATGAGGATTTGGATCGGCTGCTGCCAGTGTGTGTGACTCGTCGTCGGTGGTCATCGTCCTGGGCTGTCAGAGAGGCCCCATCGCCTGCTCAACGGCCTGTTTTCAGTCTACCTGCAGTGTCGTCTTCAGGACTCGGACCGGGTAAACTGCTGTTCTTTGGATTGGAGGTAACACTTTTCCTTTACTGTTCCTGGATTGTTGGAAATAAAGTTGGATGTCTTCGCACTCAAAAGTTACCATATCAGGCCTGCAACGGGGTTATTTTGTTTGCCGGCTGTGTGTATGTGTGTGTGTGAGTGTGGGCCCACTGAATTGTGTTTGAGTTTATTACTGAAAGTAACTAAAATCTAAATATTTGGGGTTTGAATGTAATTCTGCAACTTAAAGGTATTTTTGAAACTTAAAGAGTAGTTTTATTGAAACTTAAAGGAGTAGGCTATACATTTTGGGGAACTTAAAAGTGTTCTATTTCACTGAAAAGGTATTTTTTCATTTCATGATCTAGCCTAGGTGTTGTGAAAGGAAAAGAAGACAACAAAGACTTTACTCTAAACATATTCTCAGTTAAAATGTATTGGTGTTTGTTTAATGCATTTAAAAGTTGAAGTAAATCATCGATTTGTTTATTTTTCTAAAAAGAGTCTTGTGATATTTCCTTCGCTAGAGTTAAAAGTGAGTTATCATTTAACTATTGGTATTTGGAGAGTGTGTAGCAACACAAAATAATTCAAAGTCATTATATTTCATGTTTTAAGAGACAGTCAGGTAAAAAAACACTTTATTCAGAGTTCTAAGATTAATAAGGTGAATTCATCTAGATGTATCAGTTGATTGTGTATTAAAAAACGAAATCCAAACTACTTCAGAGAAATTACTTTAAAAATTAGGGTTAAAATACAATAAATGAACTCAGAAGCCTGCCCTTAGTAAAAGGTCTATTGAGGGGAGTGCTACACTTTGTTCTTTCTTTTGCCACGTGCTCAAGTAACATTCTTTTTGTCTACATGCGCAGTCTTCTTATTTTTATAAGCCAAGTCAAGACCAACTGAACCAAAACCACAGAAATGCCTCAGAGTCATTTTGTAACTTTTAATTATTATCATTATTCATTCATATCATTTTCAAAGATTTCTGACAGTTTTAGAATCATCTGGTCAACTCCAGTCTCCCCTGAAGTTATCAAGCAAAAGTTAAGTGCATCAGAGTTTATTTTGCATCAACCCACAAGAGAAGCTGGTCAATAATACATCTGCCCACGACTGCCTGCAGAGAAGCCTACCAGAATTCAAGGGTGCCTGAGACAGAAAGTCTACTCGCAGACTTGACCAAGGCTGAACTGCTTAAACACCGGCAGAATCCTTCACCGTGATAATGGGACATGGCCTCCAAGAAAATCCACCTAGATCCTGCATCGCCAGGGTTACCGCGGCAACCTCAGCCACCTGGGTTCCATACATCCATTGTTCCAGCTAAGGGTCTCCAACTACAGCGCAACTCACAGTAGGCGGGTCTTAACATTCTGCTCATGAATGGGTTGATGTCGAAATATAGAAATATTTAATCACCAAATCTCATTCGTTGTATAGCCATCCATAACATATTCTCTCCCTTCATTGCCAGCTCATCACACAGCTCATTTCATTATTATTATCTTGTTCCATTTACTCTGTAGATAGTAGTCTAGTCAATAAACCGAGTGGCAACCCACCGTGACGTCACCCATTGGTTTGTGAACTGCCGTTTTGGAGTCAGGAGTTTTCGTTTTGGCCATTGCCATTTTGGTTTTCTGAAACCGGAGGAAACCATATTTGGAGGAGCAAGTGGAGCTGGGGAGGAGTGAGGGATGGATCTGACCCGATGTGACCACGAGAACAGAGGACACTGCACGCCCGTCCAGTGTTGCCAACTTGGCGACTTTCTCGCTAAATCTGGCGACTTTCCAAATCGTCTTGGTGACTTTTTTTTGTCAAAAGGGACTAGCAACAAATCTAGCGACTTTTTCTGGTGTTATTGGAGACTTTTCTGGTGTTTTGGAGACTGACGTGAAAGCACGTATCGCTCTGCAGTTACTGTCCTCAACGAGCAGCGGGTGCTGCCGTGAGCCCCTCCCCCGTCCCAAAGCACTCACAGGTGGTCAGTCTCACAGTAGCCTCGCACAGTAGTGGTGTGTGATACTGCATATTTTGGTCGGGCCAGTATCGCCGATACCGATACTTTTCAATAAATAAGGTGGATGCGTCATTGAATTGCTAAATCTCAATTAATTTTCATGACCTTAAGTGTTTTTTGTGATGTTTCCTTTTTCATTATTAAATAGTTAAAACCCAGGACAGAATTAGGACAAAGTTTATAATTAAATAGAAAATGCTTTATTATCAATTTTTTTTCAGAAAAATCTTAAATAAATAAATAATGTTTTCTTTTGGATGGTTTTTTATATGTTTATATATAGTGTTTCCACTATACCTGACTAGCTTTTTACAAATCCCACATTTTGCTGTTGTCTCGTTTTCGGCTTGAAAATACAGCTACACGGCGCTCATCTTCCTCTCTGCCATTCTTCTGTTTTATTTTCTCTGTGCGTGTGCTGATGAACCTGAGCCGGCAACTTGCTTGATTGTTTGCTTTGTGCGTCTAAGTCACGTCACGTGACTCACATGACGGCGCAACATCTAAACACAAGAGGGGGGAGGGGGAGCAAAGTGTGCCTGCTCTGCGCTGACACAGGAGCGGTGAGTCCGGCGACCTGGCTGTTTCCTCTTTGCTGAAACCGCAGCATTGCAAACAAGAGCGGAACTTAAAGTAAAGAATCGATCTCACCGGGCTAGTATCGATCCGATACCGATACCGACTTGGTATTGATACTATCGATATTTGGATCGATCCGCCCACCACTATCACACAGCAGTCCCAGCTGCAGTCAAAGCAGAGGAGACCCACACCACAAACCCCCCCCCAAAAAAACAACCTAAGTAACTCTGCCAGAGTGTGTCTTTTGGGTCACTTTGCCGATCCCAAGCCCGGATAAAAGAGGAGGATTGGATGTAGAGCTAGCAATTCTACCCCACATAATAGTCTTTTGATTAAATTTGATATTCTAACATTTAACAATACAGGACAAAATTGATTTATGTAATGTGGGTCTAGACAAAGCATTAAAGTCATGAAGTTATTTTGAGAAGTGATGGCCTATTTCAATGGCAAAATTAAAAAAAACAAAAAAAACAAGAATCAACAGAAGAAAGTTCATTTGGAGTTCTAAACATATTTAGGGTGTTTTTTACTCACTTTTTGTCTCTCCCATGACGTTATTCCTCTCCCCTACTGTGTCTATTACAATTACATGCAAATAGCCAATTATGCAAATTGGGTGATGACGTCATTTAGCGGCTTCTAGCGACTTTTAGTTTCTAGCTACTTTCCTTACTGAGGAGTTGGCAACACTGCGCCCGCCTGCTCCAGCTACCTGACCGCAGCAGGCTCCTGGATGTCCGGTATGACGTCGCTGCTAACTCAGTTAGCATTCATAATTCGAGGTAAACTTTGTAGCTTAGAGTTAAAATAATCTTAGTAGCTAATTTCATACATATCCACAATTGGTAAATACAGGGCTGATAGCGCTCCGGCGCCACGCCGGATTTCCGGCGTACTGAGGTGTTTGCGAAAAAAAAAAAAAAATCAGGTTCACGTTCGCGTGATCTGACAATTCCCAAGATCCGAGAGGCGCTTTCACTCTAAACCACATCAATAGGCATAGCCTACTTAAGCCAATCGCTAATAGGGGAGGGGGTGGTCTTGGGTTTTGGCCAATCAGATTGATTCAGCAGTCACCCCACGTGCGAATGTGTTTTGTGTTTCCCATACACTACGAATGTGTTTCCCACACTGGCAGCACGAAACATAGCCAAAGTCATGGAGTGCAACTTTATGAAGCCAGGGGAAGACACCAAACTTGTCGATAAAGGTATAAAGAATAAATGGCATTGGTCTTGGATAGAGGAGGTGGGTAGAGACGGAAAGCCCTTTGGAAGCTGGTGTCAAAAACTCCGGCAACCAGGAGCATGTTTCTGCACTTTGTGTGCAAGGAAAATATTATATGGAACTAGCAGGAAAAAGTGCTGCCACGGCACGAGTTCGACGCTATTCATCAAGCAGCTTTACGAGCAATTCAACATACCTCACGTTTGCCAGGGGCAACCGCCACAGCAGATATCCGGCCTTCAATGACCGATCGCGTGGCTGATTTAAAAATTCGCTTGTGCTCCTTCATTGCCGAGTATGATCTATCGTTTACAATCGCTCATCCACTCGTCACTTTGTGTCAGAAATTAGCGGAGGATAAACTCGCCCTTACGCATCTG